TTTGTGACTAATAGCTGCATTTCTACCACAAAATATAACCTGGTAATGAGCATGGGGAATCCAAGCCAGATTATATATCTGTCTTGTGGTGGTATTGTTGAGGAGCCAGTGTCTTATCTTACTACCCATCCATTTAGTTATTCACTAATATTTATTGAATTCCTGGTAGGTACCAAGAATTCTTCAGATTCTGGTAACAAAACAGAAAGTTAAAAATAAAATCAACTTAAGCCAGGTTTGATGGGGCACAAGTATAATCCCAGCACATGGCAGGCTGAGGCAGGAGGATCCCTGAAAATTTGAGGCCAGCCTGAGCTACAAAGTGAATTTAAGTCCAGTCTGAACTGCATAGCGAGACCCTGTCTCAAAAAGAAAAAAAAAAAAAAAAAAACAACAGAAAAAAGAAAGAAAATGAGTAAACAAATAAATTCAAATTTTAGCTGTGCTATTGGTTATTCAGGAGCATGTTATTTAATTTCTACATATTTGTACATTTTCCAAAATTTGTTACTGATCTCTAGTTTCATACTATTGTGATTGGAAAAGATGTACAATCTCTTATATATAAGACCTTTTTTATGACCTAACATATAATCAATTCTGGAGAATTTTCTGTGTGTGATTGAGGAAAGTATCTATTATGTCACTGTTCAATGTCATATTTTGTGTATATTTGTTAGGCCCATTTTCTCCAAACTGTAGTTTTAGTTCCATGTCTCCATACTGATTTTCTCTCTAGATCTCTCCATTGTTGAAAGTGGGGTGTTGAAATCTTTTACTATTGCCATACTGCAGTCATTCACTTCAGATCATTTTATAAATACTTACATGTATATATATTTACATCAGAACGATGGATAGGATTATGTCATATTTTATGCATACATAAATATGCATATGTTCATTCCAGTGTCAGATGTGTATGCACTTGCAATTTTACACCTCCTATAAAGTCTAGGACGCTGATGGCAGACCTTTTAGAGCTTTCAGTGATGCAAACAGCCTGCTGTGGCACATGTGCAGTAGGTTCGCCACCACTGCTCTAGGCTATCTCACCCCCTCCCACTTCTGTCAGGTTCTTAATTGCCCTGAGCTACTGCCTGTGTTCCAAGGTCAAAGGACGATTCTGCTTGGTGTGCTGAGATACCTGGCTGGACTCAGCAGTCAGGTGGGCTGCTGGCTGGGCTCTGTTACCCTCCTGGATTGATCAGGGTTACAATTATATTCTCCAGATGGATGGTACTTTTGCTTGGAATCTATTTGAGCACCATCACAGGCTGATTTCTGAATCTGGAAAAGATTGTTGGGCTGAAAGTCGGAAAGACTGAGTGTCCCTGTGGGGTGCGCTACACAGATATGTGCAGTCTCAGACTTGCCTTCTTGGGTCCAAAGCAGGGTGACATCACTTCCCAGCCACTAGGTTAGGAGAGCCAGATTTCTCCACTGCATATATTCATGGACACAGACTTCCCTTTCAACCTGGAGAAGGTCTGTGTGGAGCACCATGACCGGGGAGGTCAGCTGCTCAATCACCCAGGTTTAGTGAGGCTGGATGTGCCCTTTCAGAGATACGTGTGGAAGTGGCGTTGTTTTGGAGCCCTAGAAAGCCTTATGCAGATCTCTGAACTTGATGGTGGTATTAAGCAGGTCCAGATGCTCCTCTCCGCAGATGTGCATGATGTTTGCTTGCTTATCTGCCAGTCAGGGGAAGCCTTCAGCAAAGTGCGAGGCTGGGTGACAAGCTGTCTAGGGATTTGAAGCCAGCTGACTTGTTGATCACGCTTCCTGTAAAATGATGCTGTTTAGAAGTCTTCCTGGTTGGAAGCCTCCATGGGGCAGAAGACAAAGCCACCAAGATCCACCCTTTTCTTTGTTTCCAGCTGACCTAAGCTGGTGTAGCACTGCCAGTGGTCCCGGTGTTCCTCAAAAGGCAAGACATCAAGGAGCTCCTTGCAAAGTATTCCAGAGTGCTGGGAAACTGAATGGTCATCTGCAGCTCTCTTTTTATTCACTGTAGAACCTGGGGCCCCGGGAGTTCTGTGTGATACTGTGCTGGTTCTGAAGAGAAGTGTCATGGTACCGGTGAAACCATTTCTCTTACCTCGCACCAATGAAGCTGTTTTTAGTACTGTGGGCCTGGCAGATGTCTTGTCCTTGCTCTGAGATATGCACAGACCTGCTCTTATCTCTGCGGGGCTGCTGAGTGGATTTTGTGCAGGTCTGGAGCTGGGAAACTCCTAGTCTACCTCCCTGTAAATGTCATGCCTCTTACTTTGCTCTTGAAGATAATGATGTATAAATTTCTCAGCCGCCTTTGTTCTTCTCCTCTAGATTAATCTGTTTTTTTTCCCCAATCAGTTGATGCTAAACACAAGAAAGTGAAAAGGGAAACAAAGTCCGTTAACAAGAAAAGTCAAGATAAAAAGATTCCTGGTGCTTCTGCAGCCAGTAGACATAGTGCCACCAAGCAACCAGCTGCATCCAAAGTCCTTCCTCAGAGCAAGGTAGGATGGAGCCACTGAATGGCCTTAATCTTTATCATGACACCCTCAGATAACAATCTCTGTCCTTCTTTACCTTCTGATCTTCTGTTCCGTATCACACTGCACACATGTAGGGAAAGCAAGCTTATAATGTGAAAAGTACGTCCGAGTGACAGAAATAGAAGTTGGCTCAAATTTGGCTAGGTTTAAATACTCACTGAGTTTCTAATCTCTTTGATGGTCTGACCATACTAGCACATAGAGGTTGGATTCTATCAGAAGAAAACTCCAAGCTAGTAGCTTTCTGGAAGTAAGTCTTAAGTGCTTTCAAGACCAACAATTGTGGGGCTGGGGATTTAGCTCAGCGGCAAAAGCACCTGCCTGGCAAGTGCAAGGTCGTGAGTTCGGTTCCCGGTACCGGAGAAAAACAAAAACAAACAAACAAACAAACAAAAAAATAACAATTGTGAAGAAGTAGAAGAAGTAGAATTTCAATTCAGTGCAGGTGCAACAAAGATCACAGCCCATCCCACAGGAAACCCAGGCACTTAGGGCGCCTCTTGGGGTTGTAATGATTTGGGTTGAGTGAAAAAGCTCTGCGTATGCCATCATCGACCAAGTCTTTAGTCACTTCCCCGTCACTGGGACAAAATACCCAACACCCACAACTGAAGGGAAGAGAGGTGTATTCTGTCTTATCAGTTCATTCCATGGTCCACTGGTTCTAAGACAGAAAGAAGATGGCAGAGAGGCACAGCAGAGGAAAAGGTGCTCACCATGGCAGCAGGAAGTTCAGAAGGGAAGAACCTGGGACAAGAATAGACCCTTCCAGGCCATGCCCCCAGCACATGTAGCTCCTAACTGTGCCTGTAGCTATAAACTCAGCAATGATTAAATCCACGGATGAGTGAGTATAGCACCTCCATGATCACCTCCTCACGTAAGAACTTTGGGGGACATTTTAGATCTAAGCCATAACACTGAGGTTAAATGACTGTTTAGCTTGGAGAGAAAAATCTTAGAGAGCATCTCAGTCTATAAGAATAGTCAGCATAGTCCCGCTGGAACAGCTGGCAGTGTTTGAGGGTCCAATCACAGAATTCATAATGTTGTTTCAAATGAGTCTATTCCAGGCCTGGGGATATAGCTGAGTGGCACAAGTGCCTGCTTAACAAGCACAAGGTCCTGAGTTCGATTCCTTGTACCAAAAAAAACCCAAACAACCTCCGGGTCTTCCTTTCTGCTGGCTGCCCTGGCTATGGGTCCTGGAGAAGCCCCCACTTCCTCACTCACTAGTTTTGCCTCTGTGCACCATGCTGGCTTCCCCAAGGAAGGGGGGGTGATGGGTACAGGTGGCAACAGGATCCCTAGTAAGATATCTCTGCTACCTGCACCTAAAATTGGTGACAACTGTTAGGTATGAAGTTGCTAGTTTTGAAGCTGGAAGTTTTTCTTATATTTCTTTCTGGAGGCAGCTTCCTGAATGTTTGCTACCTGATTGATATGGCATTGCTTACTCAGCTTGGCAAAGACTGAGTACTGATTTTCTTTTACAGAAAATAAAACAAAAGGATCCTACAGTACTTGACCCAAATAGCAAAAGAAAGACGATGAAAGTATCAGTGACTGGAAAACAGAAGACAAAAAAACGTGAAGAAGAGAATAAGCGTGGATGTACATCCTCCCAGGTGCCAAAAAAGGGAAAAAATCTATAGCTGAAATCTGGAGATCATAGGGGCATTAAGGTAGGAACTGGTTGGAGGAAATCAGCTCTCCAAGGGGATGGTATTTGTGGGGTTTTTTTTTTTTTTTTTTTTTTTTTTTTTTTGTCAGAATGCTGAACAGGTTTTCCTGAATAGGATCTCCTGATATTTAGTACACTTGATTCTCACAGAACTGAAGAACCTTCCTTTTAGAAAATATCCATTTTAGATATATAATTAAGAAGTCATTGGGAAGCTGAGGCAGGAGGATTGCAAGTTAGAGTCCAGCCTGGGCTTTTCTATCCCAGGGCTATTTTTGTTTTACGGAGAAGGATCCAAGCTGGGCTTCCTGTCTTTTCCACAGTGGCTGATCTTCCCCTCTTCCAGACCTGTCCTTAATCTTCCTCATGACCATCCAGTGACGTCCAAGAAATGCCTACAAGTGGGTGCGTGCAGGTTCTCCACATCTCAGAGGTTCCTACTAATTCTATGTTCTAATGCTATTCCCAGCTCAACTTTAGGCATATAATAAAAATATTAGCTAAATTCTATTTTGTGGAGTACATAATGTCAACCATCTGCCTCAGGTTAGAAAATGCTCCCATCTGCTATTTTAGCATGCGTATATGATTTATTACACTTAATATTATGGTCTCAAGATGCAACTATTTTCCTACAAATGGCTCAACTTTATCCTTCTTTAAGGAGAGTAGTACTCTGCTATGTATAAATACATTTTTTATACGTTTATATGTTGATGGTCATGTAGGCTGCTTCCAAGATTTAGCTTTTATGAGTTGGGCTGGTATAAACATAGATATGCATGTATCACTAAATAATGTCATCTTTAACTCATTTGCGAAGATGGCTAGAAGGGGAATAGTTGGATTAAGTGGAAATTGTAGCTTTAGTTTTTTGAAGACTCACCACACTGATTTCCGTAGGGCTTGTACTAGCTCATATTCCCACCAAAAATGTAGAAAGTTTCCTTTCCCCTGCAGACTCACCTGCATTTGTTATTGTTTGATTTATTGACGATACCACTTCTCTCTAGAATAAATGGTATCTTAGTGTTGTTTTAATTTGCATTTTTCTAATGGCCACAGATGTTGAACACTTTCTTCATGTATTTATTGAGCATTTATATGTCTTCTGAGAAATATCTGTTCATTTCAGGTGCCCATTTTATGACTGAGTCTTTTACTTTGGGGGCTTTTTGTTTTTTGAGTTCTTCATATTCTACATATTAGCCCTCTATCTAGAGAGTAACTAGTAAATGTTTTTCTTTCTCATTCTGTAGGTTGTGTGCTCCTTCTATTGGTTATTTCCATTGCTGTGCAGAAACTTTTTAATTCAAAATGATTCCGCCAACAAAGGAAAAATTGTGAAGACAGCCACACATATGGACACATACAAACATAAAAGTTAAAGCAGACTTCTTGTCAGGAACTTTCCAAGTGGGAAAACTATGGGGTAACATGTTTAAAAATTCTGAATGACAAAAACAACTGCCAAAGTAGAATTCTATTCCCCATAAAAAGTATTCAAACATGGAAGAGAAATAAAGAGATTTTCAGACAAATAAAAAGGGATCATTTATTTATAGTGGAAGTGAATTAAAAGAAAAGTTAGAAAAAGTGATTGTGACAAATGATTATAATACCTTGTCCCCCCTATATAAAAGAAGCACACTGAGAAGTCATACAAGTAAATATAAAATTTTCTTTATTCTTATTTTTAAGTGCCCAGGAAGAAAACTGATATTCAAAAGCAAGGCCTAGGAATATGAAATGGTACAAATATTTTGCAAAAGAGAGGGAAAGTTTCTATGCCTCTGCAATGCTAAATTCTAAGAAGAGGAACCGAAACTCTTGCTTATTGCTGCAGGAAATGAAAAATGTTATAGTCCCCAATGGTTCAACAATTTCTTATAAAGTTAAATATACACTTATATGATCCAGTGATCTCACTCAAAGTTTTTGATATACTTGAAATGATAGTGTAAGTTCACACAAAGATCTGTATGTAGATACTTATGGATATTTTATTTGTAAGTCTATAAAACTTTAAGCAAACCATTGGCCCTCACCTGGGAAGTCATTAACTGTGGTGTACCAAAGTTGTTGACTGAGTTTTACTCAACAGTTAAAAGGAATAAACTACAGAAAACACAAATACATGGGTAAATATTAACTGTTACTAGGCTAGACTATTCTATACCTTGATTTATGTTGTGGTAACATGACTACATGCCTTCTTAAAAATTCACAAAAACTGCCATAAATTTTAATGACTTTCATTTTATACATTTTGTGCCATAATAAACAGAATATATTCAAGTTGGAACACAGAATTGTGGTATTTTTAATATTATTTCATTTTATTTAGAAAAGTTTCTCTGAAATAATTACCCTTTGCTTATAAAAGATAAAATGAAATGTTTAAAAAAGACCCATAAACACTTATTCAAGGATTTTAAAATTGCATATGTCTTACCCATGAAGCTAACAATTTCCAGTGTTGGTGAATGTGGTGGTGATGCACTTATTAAAAACAATGCCCACAAGTACTAGTGGGGCATCTATGTGAATTTACATTTATGTTTACATTCTTTGACCTAGAAATTCTAGTTTTAGGAATTTAACCTAACATTGGCTTGTGAACATTAATTAAGTAATTTTTTTTGCCATGCCAGATACAGAATCCAGAGCCTTACTCATGCCAGGCAAATGCTCTACCACTGAGCACTGTGGCTCCAGCTCCTGAACTTTGTTTCTTAAGTTATTTCTAATTTTGAAATATTTAGAAATAATGTAACACAAATAAAGAGATCAATATTAAAATAATTGTTAAATAAATCCTAAGTTTTTCATTAAAATAGTTCAGAAGTATAAGCCAGATTTACATGTTCTGATAAAGGTTTCAAAGATATACTATTAAATAAGAAATGTAAATTACAAAAAGTAATTACAATGACTATGTTAATTGTTTATAGATAGTAGCTGGTTGTTAGTGCTTTATCTAGTAACAGAACTAACATATTAGATATGGCTGGGAAGTTAGTATTATGTTAGTTCTGTTATTATCCTTATTTTGTCTTTTTTTGGGGTGGGTACTGGGAATTGAACTCAGGACCTTGCACTTGCCAGGCAGGCACTTGTACCACTGAGCTATATCCCTGGCCCTATTATCCTTATTTTAACAATTGAAGAAACTGATTCAAGCAGTTGTGTGTGCCTTTTCTAATTAATGTCACATTCTGATATTCCAGAGATCTTCACTGAGATTTCTCGGCCTCTTTTCTACATCAAAACCACTAGTTACGAACAACTCTGACCAATTAGCATCTCTGTGAAGTGTCTTGACATTCTCTTTGCTTTAACATTTCAAATCTAAGGGCAACCCTGGCTTCTCAGTTACATTATATTTATACCAAGGAGGAGCTCTGGTAGGGCCTTTTGGACAAGAATATAAAATAGTTGCAGGTTGTGGGATTGGAGGATGAAGCTATTTCAGAGAAAAAATCAAAAAGGAAATTTTTATTGGAGAAGAGTGTCATTTCTCACTTATACCATTTAGAGAAATGCTGACTTTCTTACAAGTTCAAAGGAGAATCAGTATGATAAGGAAAGCAAAAACATTGGGCAAATCACTTCAGTGACTCATCCTCTATCTCCTAATCAGCATCATTTGCATTCTCAAGAACATTAAATTATAGAGAGCTTACCTAAAGTTATATGAAGTACTAGTGTACTTCATAATATAAACATCACATCAAATTTTAAGTTACAAGAACTTTTGCAGCCTGAAATTTCAGGATGAAATCTGTTCCTAGCAATCAATTAATTCTGTGCCTTTGATCATTGCATTTAATCTCTGCCATTCAGTTTTTTCAGTCCAGATGAGGAGACTGGATTTCATCGTTTCTATATTTCCTTCAGAATGTACTTTCCAAAATAAGAAAAATAATCTTTAAAAAGAAACATTATTATGTAATGTATTACATGTTTTGTAATGTGTTTATATATACGGTTAAATATGTATATAACTATGCATGCATAAATAAATATAAATAAATACATGCATATATGTTATTAGAATAATACCAGACAAGAAGATAAAAAATGTCTAGTTAGCCTTGTTAGCCTCTACTATAATAAATGACATAAAATTAGAAAGGAGGTAATACATTGTTATTCCTTGCATCTTTGGCCCCTGAACGTAACAGTAGAACATTAGTGCTTTTTTTCTTAGATAAGTTGAGTGTTAATACTCTTGGTCCTTTACAGTATTGAACTTCTGTGGGTAACCACTCAGACTGCTTCAAAGCTCAGGGACATCTAAGGATACCTGAGGATGTGACACCACTTGTCTAGCGCAGGCATACAGTGAGATGCAGTAACCATGACTTGTACGGGTAATCATGCATATACTGGTTACAGCACTATGGAAGAATGTGAATATGTGATAACAACCAGTATAAGAATTACATAATAAAGATGCAGGTGGGTCTTGCAATTTTCGGCTCTTTTACTCTGCTCTGCTCCATGCTGCCTGCTGTTGTGGCTAATGTCTTGCACACACTTGTTCTTTAAGCTGGAGATAGCACCCACAAAAATCTCCCCAAAGTCCCCTGAATGGACTGACAACTTCTCTATTATGTTCCTCAAAATTTTTCCTCAACTTCACAGTTCTTCCTTCTAAACCATATACCTCAAATTGGGATAGACTAGATTCTAAATCAAGCTGTAATTTACCATCTTGGTATCATTAAGAAAATGATTTTACCTTTATGTTGCTTTTTCCACTCAATTATAGAGTAAAAAGGAATAGACAACTATCAAACTTTTAGAACTAATGTGAAGACTGAGTGACATAAATAATTGCAAAATACCAGATAACAAATAAGTAATCATAATGTAAGTAAATATAGTGTAAATTTTAATTCTATAGATATGCTTATGTTACTGAAAATTAACTTCAGTCTTGGCCTAAAGTCGATGTGCCTGGGACAGATTGCTGATGGCTACAAACATGTGGAATGGGAGAACCAGTGACAGAGTGTGAGAGCTCCTGAGGAGCCACTGGTGTTTGAGCAAATGAGTGGAATCAGACATTTGATATCAGACAGGGCCAGAATTTCTCCTGACACACTAGTGTACCCATATAAATCATCAGAAGGCAGTCATTGGGCAGACAAAGTACCCATTATGTCCCCTCCAGGAGAAAAGTTCTGAAAAAATATTTTTATCCTGACTTCATGAACCCTCCCAGGACACAGGTCTTGGCAACTGAAGCTCAGACTGGGTTTCAGCCCCCACCTGCCACTTAGCCTGGTTTCTCTAAACAGCCCACAGCTTGCTCATGCGTCACCAGGCCTAGTCCTTAAAGATCACACCCAAAGTATAAATTGAAATACTGCTTTTTGTCTGGGTGCCCCACCTTGATTTATAGGCCACAAACTATTTACTTAAAAGCAAATGAAATAGAGGGTAAAGAGACTCCTAGAGAAGCACTGCTTTAGAAATAGATGTTTATTTTTTTCAAATTTGAAAAGCAATAGATTCAAATATGGAACTTAGAAAATACAAAAAGCTTCACAAGGAATGAGATAAAAAGCATTTCTTTTTTTTTTTTTTTTTGCGGTATCGGGGATTGAACTCATGACCTTGAGCTTGACAGGCAGGTGCTCATGCCACTGAGCTATATCCCCAACCCGGTAAAAAGCATTTCTAAAAATTATTCTTACAGCTGTTTTTTGCTTGTTTTCCTCCTGTGTTTGTTTTTTTCTTTTGTTTCTGACCGTATTCTGTGTTGTTTGTCTTTTATTTGTTTTTGGTGGTGATACTGGGGGATGAATCCAGGATCTTTGCATTGACACTTTAAAACAAGCTTTTTTTTTGAAGTGGGATCTTGCTAAGTCTCTAAAGTGCCTGGTCTGGGTTTGAAATTTTGGTCCTTCTTCTTCAGCTTCCCAAAGTGCTGATATTTTAGGCATGTACCACCATGACCAGCTCAGAGCTGGTGTTTACATATACTTTCTTCCTAAACTTGGATCTTATTTACTTCAACATCATTGTCAGTGGCATCCAGGTTTTTAGGACTCCAGTAAAGTTTCCACATTTGAGTCAGAATTCAGTGGCTGTATCTGCTTTTTCTTGGCTTTGATGACCTTAAAGAAGAGAGTGATAAAGATAGATCAGTTAGGGTGCAGCTGCTCACACATTGTTCATTTTCTCAAAATCTGGGGTGATGGAGATATTTTACAAAATAACTTGGAGACTTACTTTACACAGCTGTGGGCCACATCTCCTTTCTGGCCTTTCTCCTGTTGTAAACTTTCATGAATACCTGTCCTTGGAGTCACACCCTACACTTTGCTGGGGACCAGGAAATGTGGTCATTATTCCTATGCAGCAGGAGCACAGGTGGAGGAGCAGGACAGAGGAGAGGAGGAGAGGGGCTGGTGTAGCCAAAATGCCAGAGCTGGGTGGAGGATTCTCATTGGGCAGGAGTGTGGGTGGAGGATGCAAAAGCACTTCCTGCTGTATCTGCTGAGGCAATGTTTGGAGGATGGTACTGGGTATAAAACTAGAACTGGAGAAATCTAGGTGCAGGTGCACATGTGAGTGCCTGAATTGGTTAGCAGTTATATTTGATCTGTGTTTGATTTGCTATCCATCCTTAGCTATTTTTAGTGTTCTCTGAATCCACGTGAATGTTTATATTATCATTACATAGACTGTGGGCTTCGTCATGTAGTAGTTCACCAAAGATAGGGACCCTTGTCTACTGATTTTCTTAAAGCATCCTTGCTAATTTACGTTTTTTTATAAACTCTGCTGATGAACTTCTGCGGCAGAAAATATTTCCCTATTTTATGGATGATGACCCTTTGTTCCCCGTTGTTTAAATCTTTAGTCAACTGGAAAAAAATAGAGTAGAATATAAACATGTCTTTCTGAATTAAACCCAAGTTCTTATTAAATTATCTTTCTGCTTTGATTAATAATCATTATTTAGGGTAAAGAGTTTTGAATATCTCTGAATTTTTCTTCACTATGATTTAAATACCTTCATTAAAAAGGTGGAAAGAAAGTTAGTTTACTTACAAGAAAAGGCAAAGTTAATTTGTTCACTAGTTTGAACTATGTGTAATGGCAGCAGTCTAGTTTTCTAAAGCACAGTATGAAATACGTCAGTTTTCACTTGGAAGAATGATGGTCGCATAAAATGCTTACCTTGAGGTGACTATGATATAAACATCTCAGCTGCCGGCTATTCATACTTGAGGCCAATTCAAAACAAGTAAGGTGAAGTTTATCACCTTCCTCACAGTAGATATTGGTCAGTCGTCCATGTACCAGTACTTCCATCTTTCCTGTGTTATCTTCTATTTCATAAAAAATGCACTCTCCCCTCACCATTTTCTGAAAAAGAATATTAACATATATGTGCTGAGAAATGTATCAGACATTTTCACTGCTGTGAGAAATACATGGTGCTGCAGAAATGCTGATTTCCAACAAGGTAACCAGATTTGTAAATTCAAGGTTAGAGATACCAAACTGGGTAAGATATTTTGGTGGGAATATCGTCTCTTCAAACCTTCTTGAAACTCTCCTTAGTTATAGTCTTTATCTGTGAAACTTTTCTAGAAGAATTATCTCACTAATTTGTACTGCTTCCACATCAACATACCTGAGATTTCTTAAGGAATCTAGAAAAAAAATCTGATTAGTTTGATGGGTTTGTTGATTGATATCTCCACAGGAACAATAAAAGAAGACTATTTGCTGCTCACTGGGGACTGAGAAAGACTAGTACAAATTTTCATTAAACACATTATGCTATCTCAATTATAATTTCTGCTTTTTCTCCCTTTATTCAATCTTCTTGAATCTGTTCAAACATTAAATCTGTCCTATTGTTTTGGGTATCTCAAGTACTTTACTAATTTAAACAATATATAGAAAATAATACAGGTAAAAGTAAAAAAAAAACCCTCAAAGACAATATAATTGTGTGTGAAATAATACTTTGAATAAACAGTTAAGATACTATTTACAGGGAGTACTGAAATACACACCCTAAATCTAAGAGTTTTCCGAACTTCATTGCCTTTTATGGTCCCTTTTTATAAACAGAGAGATGTAGTATATTTCTCTAGTACAGTGATGGCGAATCTTTTAGAGACTGCCCAAACTGGAACTCCAAACCCACTCTTTTGTCACCAGTTGCCAAAACTGCAATTTAAAGCAGAGCACTGGGCTGTTGAGGGGATGCCGAGACAACTTGGCTCACACAGACAGGGAGGGTTCTGAGTGCCTGGAGTGGAATGTTTCCCGTAGGTTTGCCACCACAGCTCTAGTCTCTTCCACTTCTTTGTTTCTCTTATTATTTAGTGCAGAAATCAGTTGGTCAACAATTTCTTGTTGAAAAGTCATGAATGGGAAGAAGTGAGAGAAACTTAGAGTACAAATGGTCAGAATCCAGGCTTCCTGTTGGACACAGTTGTTTGCTAGGACAGAGTAATTATTTGATTTCTTATTGTGGCCATTACAACCAGAGCCCAGTTCTGGGAGGTAACTCTTTACTCACAGTTTCATTATCACAGATAATCATCACCGTCCGCTACACACCATCCTCTACCAGGGTAACTATGAACTGATCAACATAGCTGATGACATACTAAGGTTTCTTGGTAAATCTCCTTCTTAAATTTGCATAGTGATACCCAGAGAAGAAAAGCTATACCACTGTCTGAAGCAAGAAGATTACACTCGCCTATCCCTGGAGCTTGTTTCTTCTGCTCAGTAAATTAGCCAAAGTGCAGTTGGCAGGTTACAACTATAAAATCTGGGGTTGCAGGAGAAATTTTACAAATTAATGCCTTGACCTACCTTACACACCATAAATATCCCATTCACGCATTTTCCTTCAGTTTGTGAGTAAAGCTGTCTGATTTTAGGGGTTGCATTTGCATTCTTAATCAGAGTAGGTGAGATGTTGATCTTTCGGTCAGCAGTCACAAAAGACACACTTGAGGATTTGTATATCTCCAAGAACCCGTCTCAACCAACATAATTGGCTATGGCAATGACATTTTTTGGGGTGAACTTGTCCTTAAATTTGATGTCAAAAACTTTCACTCGGAAGAATTCATTCTCTGTAGCCACGGTTGCATGAATCATCGTGTGCTCCTGTTCTGTAACATTATATGTAAATGGTTCTGTCACTTTCAGCACCATCACTTCTTTGGGGCCTGGTTGGTAACCACTTTCTTCAGAAGGCTCACTGGGTATACTCTGTTGTCTTGGCTTCTACTTGGACAGTACACAATAAACACAAGCACAGTTAAGGCAGTACACAGTCACTGTCTAGTGAGAGCCATCTTAGACTCCATGTCTATGCTCAAAGAGCACCTTACTTAGGGGACTTGGAAACAACAATGTCTGCTGTGGTATTACTGAGCTAATAGAAGAAATGAAAAAAAATTTGATAGTAATATCAGCTCATTCTAATCCTAATCAACAGGGTCATGTTAGAAGACTTAAATCACAAATCCCTTTCCAACAAATCAGTGTCATTTTGATTAAGGATTAATATGGCAGCTAGTGGAAGAACCTCAAAAACTTTCCTAATCTGAGCAGGTCCAGGCTAGAAGCTCTTCAGCTTCAATAATGGCAGGCACTGAGGAGAATCATGGAAATGGAAGTTAGGGATGAAGGAACTTTGCTTTGAACACTTGTCTGTGCAGAGCTCTGCACCATTTTGAAGTTTCTGGTGAGCATTTTGAGTTGGATGAGTGGCTGATTATCAGTAACAGGAAGTGTGGAGGCAACCATGGGAGGCCTGGGGACCTATGAGTGGAGGCAGGCAAGCTGCATCCATAAACCAGCAATGCTCAATGTGATTCCAACCTGAAAAATTACATGGACCATGCCCTGTGATTGAGGGGACTTAACTCTGACTTTTCCTCCATGTGATCAAATGCTTCCCACCATCAAGAAAGTTCATTCCCTCTATAATTTAAGTGGTAAGGTAACAGAGAACCTCATGATAGTGACACCAACATCCTCAGAAAAAGCGCACAAGACTTAGGGAAGAAGTTATAACTCTATCTGTGGATGATAAAAGAGGACCCAAGGTACGTACAGTTTTATTATGTTCTTTTAAAGTATAAGGGATACTTGAAATAACCTAAGTCAAATAATATAGTTATTTTTATAATATATTGAATAATCATGTAATTTGCACATGCAATTAAATAATTTTAATCTCTGTTGATTGGTTGAATGGCAGTTCAAGATATTTTAATTGATTTTTAACAGCCTTGGTTATACAGAAATACATGTAATGTTTTTAATATGGAAGAAATGATACTATTTGGATATACATAATGAAGAGAACATAAAAAAGACTAAATGCTGAATTATGGCATTTCATGGGAGAGATCCAGATAGTTAAATTTAGCTAATATTTTTGTCTATATATTTACTTATCTTAAATTTTCTAAATGTGTTTTCTGTAACAATGATGAAAAGGAAATAATTAGTGATAATTTTAGATGGCTCTCTAACTTAATACACAATTTTACCCTAAGATATCCCTTTCATGGTATATTGAAATAATTCAAGCTAACACTTAAAAATAAATGTAAATAAATAAATGTCTAATAATATACTTTATGAAGTAGAGATCATTAAGTATTCAGAATCATAAATTAACCCTAATGCAGTAGGACATAATAAGAGTTAAAAATCAAATTTAGAGTAGTCTCTCAAAATGATTCAGTTAGGTAAAGCATCAGACATCATAAGAGATTATTTAGAGAAGCTTCTAAAGTGCATGTGAATCTCTGGCAATATATTGCGGGAACAGAAAATTTACCGTGGGTAAGTGATCGCTGGATGTTGTTTCTGGAAGCATCTGTGGAGTCTGGAGATTTATGGATGATGCTGGAGATACTTGAGGAGTCTGGAGACTGCTGGCTGGTGGTAGAGGGATCTTAGGAGTCTGCAGACTGTTGGATGGTGTTTTTGGAGGCTTCTGAGGAATCTGCAGACTGCTGGATGGTGGTAGAGGGATCTGATGAGTCTGCAGACTGTTGGATGGTGTTTTTGGAGGCCTCTGAGTTTGAAGCCTGCTGGATGGTGTTTTCGGAGGCTTCTGAGGAGTCTGCGGACTGCTGGAAGCTGCTAGAGTCGTCTGTGGAATCCGGAGACTGCTGGAGGGTGTTGCTGGACACAACCAAGCAATCTGGACAGTGCTGGATGGTGTTGCCGCCATCTCAGGAGTCTGGAGACCATAAGATGGGGTTACTGGACGTGTCTGAGAAGTCTGTAGACTTCCGGAGGATATTGATGTAAGCATTTGTGGAGTCTGAGGACTACTAGATAGTTTTGCTGGAGGGATCTGGGGAGTCTGCTGACTGCTGCACGGTGTTGCTGGAGGTAGCTGGAGATTCTGGAGACTTCTGGATGATGTTTGTGGAGTGTGCCGAGTGGCGGACAGCGTTGCTAAAGGCATCTGAGGAGACTGCTCACTGTTGGGTGGTGTTGGCAGCATCTGAGGAGTATGGAGGCTGCTGAGTGACGTGACTGAAGGCTTCGGAAGAGTTTGAGGACAGCTCCCTGTTGCAAGTGCGCTAGTCGTGGGCCGTCCAGTCTCTAATATCTTAATGGAGTCATCTATTTTGGTCATTGTGTTTTTCTTTTCCTGAAGGAAAATAAAGTTTTATTTTTTTGTTGTTGTTTTAGAAAATCACTTGACTACATCCTTCCTTTTTTAATGAAGAGCTTCACTCTGCCAACTTCCTCCTGAATGGCAGGAGGAATAGCACACATTGAGATACCTCCATCACCTGGCCTCCTCCTGTTTCAATCAGGATTTCCATTTCTCCTTCTAGTCACTAAACACTTAACTGATTGAAATTTCATCGGCCTGCAATGGAATACTGGCTCTCAGTTTCCATCACTTGGCCAAGATCATTTGGTCAGGTGCAATTCTTGGGGTTATTTTGTAAGAAGCATGACTTACAACAAAGGAAGTTCACACTCATAGGCATGCCTTCATTCACTCTTTCCAACTAGGCGGATACACAAAGCTAGCCCTGCTCTGTGCTCTTTGATTCAGAGGGAATCTAGGGCTCCATCCCTTCTGGTCCTCTGAGCATAAACATAACAGAAAAAGTCCCTCAAATCCATAGTTCTTCCCTTCTCTCTATGGTGTGATTCAAGAAATCAGAAGCTTTCAGGGTTTGGGAAGCTTCACAGTTTAAAATCATATTTAAAGAATTACCTGCAGCTATGCTCTCCAAGTGACCCTAGGGAGTATTTCTGGAATCATATACTTTGACCCACCTTCTATTTCATGACAGTTAGTCAGCTTGCCTCAGCATTTCCCAGCTCCAGCATTCACTAGTCTAGCTTTTTAAAGTGCCAACTATGGAAGTGCCTCACCTGGAATTCTCCAACCACTCCAACCTGTCAAAGCATAGCTCTGTCTATTCGAAATCACTTAAAAATGAATTGCATAGATTTTAACATTGTACATCTACCTTGGATTCTAAAGCAGAATTCTTTTCATCTTTTCCCTTACTTAATGCTTTTAAATATCACATGAATTATATCATTTGTCTCTGTCTCTATCTGCTTCTGTTTTTTTTGTTTTGTTTTGTTTTGTTTTGTTTTTTTTTCTGTTTCTGTCTGTCTCTGACTGCCTGTCTGTGTCTCTCCCTCTCTCTCTGTCTCTATCTTGGACATACATGCATACTTCACAAGGTCTTTTCTCTATCAGTTTTAAAACAATTTCACATATTGTTAAGCTCCGTACTCAATACCACCACAGCTATGGTCTTATTCAGTACTATAAACTTCATTCTGCAAAAGTTGAAGATTCAGATAATTGAAATTATTTTGGCTTATTATAGACTCTAGATCTACTTCTGTTGTAAATGGGCCTATGTCAACTTCAATATCAAAAATAACACTGCGTTTTTTATTGGTAGAAAATACTACTAAAGGGGGCTGGGGATTTAGCTCAGTGGCAAAAGCGCCTGCCTGGCAAGTGCAAGGTCATGAGTTCGGTTCCCAGTACCGGAGAAAAACCAAAAAAAAAAAAAAAAAAAAAAAAAAAAAAAAAAAAACTACTAAAGTATATAATATAATAAATATAATATAAATATGTAAGTCTTCACAAAACTTTGAATTTAAATTTATTAACTACACCTTTTATTACTTTGTATATTAGTCTAATAAAAATCAGTTTCTATCTATATTCTATATGTTCTTTAGATTTATGGACCCCCGTTCTCCATCCATTGAGTGCTTCATTTTTCATCGTGCTGGAGGAAGTTCCTGAAATTCACACTTCAAAGGACAGGATTCTGCTCTTCTTGTAGCAAGTGATAGACCACAGATTCTTTAGGTTTTTCAAGAATAAAAACACCCATTCAGATAGCATTACATCATCCCAAGTACATTTTTATGTGTGTATAAGCAAGGGCAGGGAATATCTGTAAATGCATTTATATTGATTACCTACATTTGCCCATTTTGAAGAGTCTACATCCAATATCAATCTCTTATGGTTCTTATCACTTACAGCATTCACACATCTGTCTCATTAGATGTCATTTGTTCATAAGAGTTGCGGATAAAGGAGCCCTTCAAAATTCCTACTTCTGGTGTAGTTTTTGGTTTAGAACACTCTCTGACTATCCTTGGCAACTCATTTATATTGGCAGGCTTATAGAACCTAGCTATGTAGATAAAAACAAAACATATCACTATCTATCCATAAATTAGGAAAAAAATCTTGTTACAAGCATTGTAACATCTTTACTCTGATTGTATAGGTGATATATACACTTTACTCTGGTTGTGTGAAAGTTCTGATTTTATATCCACTACGTTCATGACCCTGGAAAATATTTAGTCTAGGAACTTCAGTTTCCTCAAATGTAAAAAGGGAAAAACAAAAGCATCCTGATGTGATGTTGCAAAAACTCATGAGATAATGTGCACGAAGCACACAGGTTTCAGCATCTACTCAATACATAAAAATATTAACATGGTCATTATAATTTTATGCAAACCTATGTAGGGGTTTATATTGCTGGTATTCCACAAATATGTCATGTTTTATGTGGATCCTCTTGATGGAAACCGTGAATAAAGGTCCCACAAGAAGTACTATATGGAAGAAGCTTCTCGATTCACTCATCATTTACAGCAATTTACTCTTACTGACAAGAATATCTTGCTTGTTTCAAATCAATTAAATTAAAAATATTTCATCACAGTATCAGGATCTGATGTTTCAACTACTCTACACTCTTTGACTGGAAAATATTTAAAAATGGTAATTGATTACTTGATTTATTCCCTCTAAGATGAATTCATTCACTACCTCTGCCTTTTCCTGAATCATGGCTGAATATATGTCCAGCTTCACAGAAGATATAGAAACATAAACCAAATATAATACTGGTCTGACTCTGGGTTAGACTCCAGAAACTAAAAAGAATGCGTAGTGAAGGAGACATAGTTGGAAATATCATGATGTAGAAGAATAAGGATTTCTTTCTCACCTAATGGGACTGATTGATCAGGAATTGATTGATTGATCAGGGACACTGTTTTTACAGGATTCTTATGGAAAAGGCTGGATTCCAAAGAAGAAATGGTGATTTCCCATGTAAGGGACCAAGAAAGAAGATGGGTCATCCTTGGATCCTGTGACCTAACATGTTTGGGAAGAGCAGACTGATTTCTATCTAGCAGACATGATGTAATCACATATGTCAGCAGATAGGCCCTAAGGAAGTGCCACTTGCAATCCTGTATGCAAAGAAAATATGTAGAGTTGTCTTGGGCTGTCTACACGCCGTTGTAGGAGCAGAGAGGTAGTGGGTCTGAGGTTTCAAAGACTATTTAATGGTTCCATGCCCAGCAGGCACAAGAAATGAGCAGAAATAGGTTGTAAACTCTGTCCCATAAAGGCTTCACAAGGAATTATGAGTTATTGGAGCTGATAAGAACAAAAAAAAAATCATAAGTTGTGAAACCTTCTAAACAGAAAGTGTATCTTCCATTGTCGTGTGAAATGGTGATTAAAGCTGTACTTTGAGTTACACAGAGTCTGGAGTCTTGGATGAAAAATTGTATCACAGAATATTGCTATGAAATTTTTTGCCTGCTCCTCAAGTTGTCTATGTATTAATATCACAAATTAGCATCTTAGTTTTTGTGCATTAACATGAGTCATCGATAGGTAGAAGAAATGGCAGAGTGGGATCGCATTTGAAACCTATCCTGTGTACTCTCATCCTGTCCTTTGTTCTTTCTTTACAGGGTACCTACATTTTAGCCCACTGTCTAATGGAGAGAAACATAGACTCATGTATTACAGCTGTGACAAGTGGTTAAAAATAATTATAAAAGAATCCATGTTTGTTTGTTTGTTTGTTTTTCTTCCAGTACCAGGAATTGAACTCACGACTTGCACTTGTCAGGCAGGTGCTTTGCCGCTGAGCTAAATCCCCAGCCCCTAAAAGAATCCATGAAAGCAATGGGCATGTAATGCATTTGGGAAAAGGGTATAATGAGGAGTGCTGTCAGAAGAGATTCATGCTTGTGCCTGAAGGCTGAAGCTATGTAAATAAGGACTGAACCAGGACAAATGATTCCCAACCACGGAGGGACTGTCACCATGTCCAACTTGGAGACAACAGCGAATGTTTGAAAGGAACCTGCAATATGGTCAGCAAGCAAAAGGAGGAGGGGAGAACAAAACGAATGTGGAGAGATGAACACACTCATGTGCGTTTCTACTCATCTACTCACTTTTGCCCTCTCTCTCTACTCAACACAAGGCAATAGCCCTCTGAAAATCAGAAGTGATTTTATAAACATATCTTCATAATTTCATAAGAGTTTAAATCCACCATTGTCATAAAATATATACCTGAAGAATTATTATGTTAAGTAAAATAAATTGTACAGAATACGGGTTAGACGGCTGCTTTTTGATGTTTTCCATGATTATTGTTATTATGTTAAATAGGAAAAGAGAAAAAGAGCAGGAAGCTAATACCTTTGTTGAGGAGCTGCTGGAAGAGGTGGGTGGAGGCTTGTGAGGGCTCTGCAGACCTGTGGTGATCGTGGAAGTTTCTGGAATCAAGCCCATGTTCTGCTTTACCATGTTTATTCCCAAGTCATCTGTTTTCTTGGTTGAATTTTTCTTTTTCTGAAGAAAAAACAGATTTCCCCCTTATTTTTGGATAATGATTTTCAAAATCATACACAGAACATCTTGTCTTTCTTTTCACACAGAAACTTTCCTTTCTGATTGCTTCTATAGTAAGAAGATATGCTCATATACTTACCACCTACCCTCCCAAATCGTCCAGGATTTCAAACCTCACTGTCCATCTAGTAAAAGCTCATATAAGTTTCTTTGGCTTCAAAGAGGAGGAATCCTGGTTCTATTTCTGACACACACTGACTTAAGATGATCAATCAAACACAACTGTTAGGGTGAACCGAGATTTGCAGGTTATAAGAGAAGCAAATCTCAGAGAAAGTCACTAGTCATTATAAACATATTTTAGTCAGTAATCTTTTATCATCAAAAAATTAGTTCATGATATCTATTCATTAAGATAAAAAAAATCCACTCTATTTCTTTAACCTTTGAGGGGAGATTACTGGTGGAAATATGGATTCATGAGAATAATAATAATAGTAACAGTACTAGGGAAACAAAACCAAAATATGAGATTCTCTTTCTGTAGAAAGTGTTTTTTCATTGGGTATGGTGGTGAGGATGTAGACAGGGACAAAGTAAAACAATGCTTGCTTTTTGAGTTAGAAAGTATATTTAAGAGTTGTGATTTAATTTCTGCTCTGACCTTCTTCTTCAGTAGTGTCTGGCAATCGGTCTCTTGCTTTTTCATCCTAGATGAACTCTTTATATTCCCAGGTAGCAGGTATCCATAGGAACCATATCAGAGGAGAACAAAAAAGACATTTAAAAAAAGACAGAACTTGATGAGTTGATGGATATAGATGTGAAACTTCCTTTCTACTTTTGTCTTGTCTTCCCTTGGAACAGCATACCTGTAATCTCTCATGGTTTTGTTTTTCAGAAGGAATGATTTCCTTTTTCTCCTGATATTTTATTTTATTTACTTTATTTTTGGTGCTAGGTACTGAACCGAAGGCATCACTTATACTCAGCACATAAACACATATTTTTCCACTGGCCAACAGCTCCAGCACTTAGTAATTCTTCTTTTCTTTTTCATTGCTGAGTATGAAATGCATAGCGCCTTATCCTTGCAAAGCAGAGACTTTACCACGGAGCTGTAAACCAGCCTCACAACGGCTTTTTATGTAAGATAAAGTATAATATCTTCAGTACCAAAAAAATCTACTTTTTATTACTGGATTCTAATTATTCTAAACTTACATCCTACGAACCACCAAGAAGTTAGTCCATCCTCTGAAGAGATGGTCAGAAGGCAGGCAGCAGGCTTATATGATTGCTTCATACAGAGTGGAAGCACTTTATACATGTGAAGTCTTTAACACCCTGTGCTAACAGAAAAGAGGAAACTTGTGCTTAGAAAGTTCATGTCTGGATTTAGTCTCCTTGAATAGGCTTTGGTGAGCTGTTCACCTAAGCTGACTGTTGTTTTCCTACATAATTAAACAAGGCATAATGGCAATATTTCTATCAGAGGGAATTGTACTGAAAAAGCTAAAGAGTACTGTGGTCCTGAAACAAAATGAGCAAACAACTGAGTATTTTCTGAACGTCATATTCACTAAAGAAATAAGTGTGCATCCAATGACAAGATGTGACCGAGCCATGGAAGCAGCTTTGACCCTGGCAGTGTAGCAAGCCTACCTTTGACAGAGACACATCCTTAACTGATTCTGGTTCGAAAGCTCCATCTGTGATGAGTGTATTTTGCTCAGTACTGGATTCATCCTGCTTGCGTCTTTTCCCTGTATTCTTGACTTTTCCTTTGCATTTCATTTTACCTAATACTACAAAATAAAATACAATAAAGTGAATGGAGGGTCACAGTGGTGTCAGTACAATTTCTTTTCAGTTTCTGTTTGTGTATTTACGTCAGCTCCTCTATTTTTACTTTGTTGGCTGGTCATGAGGCAGCCAATAGTGCCAACCTAGGCACAAGCAGAGCCTCAGTGGTTGTTTTCTTTTCCCCAGATGCAATTGGAACAGCCTTCCCACACTGAGGATTACCTCAGTAACTTCTCCTATGTTCTCCTTTTAAGAATCATCATATTCATGATGTTAAGAACAGGTCATCTTCTATAGAAGGCCTTGCCAAATTTTATTCTCATTTGTGCTGTGACAAAGTAATGTTACTGGACTTAAACATCTTATGTATTTTTTTGTAAACCCAGTGATTTTGTTAGAGTGAAGTTCTGTACATCTATGAGACACAGATTTTTATTTAAGTACTACACTATATCTACTGCCAGAGAAGATATTAATGATGAAATAAATATCCTAAAAGAGAAGCAATATTAATTGAGCTAAATATTTTAAAATGCATCCATATTAAATACATAATTTTTCCAAAATTTATTTTGTTACTGTCTAATTTTTCCAATGCATGAGAGAGAAGCCTTAGAATTGTCAAGAATTCATTCTGCTTTTTAAAAAATTTCTTCTGTGGCTGCCCCCAAATCCTCTAGCTCAAGTATATTAAAACTTTTCATAGGAGAGGAGTTCTCTAGGTTTTCAACTTGTTGGCACCTGAGGTACAAACATTGCTGTAGAAACTGAGGAATATGCTGGGAAGTGATGTCTATGATGAAGGAAGAGTTCTAGTCAGTCTTGGGGAGGATGCACACCATTACCTTTTGCCTTCTCTTTTTTAAGAAGGTCAGCAGTGCTCTCCAGACCCGGTATGTCTTTGAAAAGTGTTATCAGTTTTCCCAGTCCTGCATCACTTTTGAACTTCTCTGCCATCAGGTCAGCTAATTTAATTTTGTCGTATTCATCTTGCTTGCTTCCATTCAGTTTTAACCGAGGAGCCAGTAAGGACTTTATTGTTCTAAAATGAAAATCACTGATGGGATATAAGCCTTGCAGAAGAACAATTTTCTTGAATGTACTTGCCATCTTTCAAATGATAGGTGAACCTAGAAAAGAATATTGGCACACAATGTTTCGTTATACATGTATACAGACAATTTAAAAAATAAGATAGGCCTACATACATGACTCATATCAGAATGTGGTCACAAGTCACAAGTGTGTGGGCAACAAAGAGGGACATGGTTCCCAGATGTTTCACTACTGAAAATGATGCAGACTAAGAAGTTCCATGTTATGGATGATGAATTGTGTCAGGGGTGGATGTCAGGGAAGAAAGACCTTATGGTGCTGAGTATAGGCTATGATGTGTCACAGTCCCTGGTTCCTATTTCTACGCTTCATTGACTGCAGCTTATCCTGGTTATGTGTCTTTTGGCTCCTGAATCTTCCCCATCCGTGCTCCTATCCATTTGGCTCTTCATTAATTAGCTCTCATTAGCATTGTGTCTCCTGTGGTGTTGGACCATGACTTCTGTACCCCTATCACTGTTGCATGGTGGAAGTCCACATGGGTTCCATGGCAGGATCAAAGAATCTATGGGTTGAAACTACTTTAACTGTTGCTTGATTTGTTTTCTTAATTCATTTTTTATACAGAGCCACTTTTCTGGCTATAATCTATGGATAAACCTAGCTGAAATCTTTCAACAATTCTCCCAGTTCTTATAAAAACAAAAGCCCCTCCTTTCTCCTTAAAATATCTTAGCTGGTCTGCTTAAGTTATTTGCATCTTTTTACTTCCTAAGTTTTTGAACTCCTTACATTAGATTCTTTAGACATATACAAGAAATCTTGTTTTTTCCTATTTCATGTCATTTCTAATTTCTTTTTCTTTTCCTGGAAAAATGTTCCAATATTTCTTGCTTTTATTTCCTCCCATTGAACCATTAAAACTCAACTAAGGTTTTGTCTTCTGTAAGCTTCCAGAGTTCCCAAATTCACTGAGTGCTGTGCCTGCGGACCTCTTTAGCATCTGTGCGTTTGATTGGTAACACTCAGTGCATGATATGTATTCCAATTTTTTGATAACTTTACAAATTCTTTCAATTTAGGAATCATGTTTGTGCAATTTTTACATCACTGAAATATTCAAATTTCTGAGACTGTTAATTATTTCCTTTTTAAGGGAAAAAACAAATCCTCAGATTGAAAATGTCCATCAAATGAGGGGTAAATCCATACAAAGACACATTGTCCTGAGTAAAACTGAAGAGGAGTAAATGCACAAAAAAAGATACTGTATAAGCCATAAAGAGTGGATCTCCCACAGATATTCAATAATATTGAAACTGTTTCTCAACAGCAAAACTGATTGCAATAAGTGGTTTAATTTTTATATCATACTGGTCCCAAATCCCATATCTATTACAAAACCAAAATGTTTTAGAAATAGAAGGATTTGTTTGGTAACTGTGACAACACAATGTAGTTGTGAAATTTCAGCAGATGTGAGATGAGAGGAGGCTACATATAATCTTTGTTCATTTCACTTAAGTGAGAACATTCACATATTTTTGTTGCTGAAGTATTATTGATTTTGAATGTGGTATAGTGATTCAGATCTCAATGAAATTGTCAGTAGTACAGTAGATAGAACATACGCATTAAGTAGCCTTCTGCAAAATCCAAATTCTGAATTTCAAAATATATTTAATTCCACATGTGTAGAAGAGGTCCTTTCAACCATCATATGTAAAAAATAAATTGGAATGAAATTTAGAATAACATGAAAATGCTATTTAAATAGAGAAGCATAAAAATCTACTCTCTGATACTAAAGGCCTCGGTAGTTTTGAAAGTGAAAGACGTGTACAGGAATATTGATAGGAAGTAATATTCAGCAAGAAAATAGTAAGCAAAGATGAGAATCCTGCAGGCCAAAGTAAAGTCAAATGAAAACAAACTTGACTAGGGGTGCTTATGTCTTAAAAACAGGCTCTGATGAAAGAAGAAAAAAAAGAAATATCAATATGGTGGAGGGTGGAAGGAAATAGAATTGGACATTTCACTAATATGTTTGTCTTAAAGCAGAAGATACAGGTATAAGTTTTAAAACAACAGATGAGGAGAACACAGAAGTGTCATAACTTCAAGGGTAGACAGCAAAATCAAGTCAAAGTATGTAATTATAGCATCTACCTAAAGGTCTAGTCAGTTGTATAAAAAACTATTACATATGATTTAAGACACCTGCCCATATGTTGTTAACAAAACTTTATCTAAATGAGGAAAAATGGAAAACAAATTACTAGGCAAAAAGTAACTAAAAGAAAGCCAGCTATCTATATTAATGTAGCTTTCAAGATAAAAGGTATTAAGATAAGATAAAAAGTATTGTCAGGTACCACATAATGATAAAAAGTTCAACTCCTAAGCAGACACATCAGCCTTAAGTATGGATTTTTCTCATAATAAGAATATTCTATTTGGTATCACTTAATAGTCCTTCACGGTATTACAGAGAGTAATACTGACTATATTTCTCTGTATAGTCGGCACACGTAGTAGCCCAGCCACATAGAGAATACATAGTGTAAGCACACATGAGTGTGTACACATGTAGGAATTTGAAAGAACTACAAGAAAAAACCTACCATTTTATGGTAGGTATTGCAGTATCTCTGTTAATTACTAAATGAACAAGGTAAAAATTTGTAAAGACCTAGAAAATGTGAGCAATAAAATTAATAAATTTCACAAGTTTAGCATTCATGTAAGAATTCCAAAATCAACTTTTACAATCTCACTTTCTATTCAAGTACACATGAACTATTGTAACAGGCTCTAGAGAGGGTCATTTCACAGTTGGTGATAGAAATGTTTCTAACTGACATCCCCATCTCTCAGCTACTTCTTGCAACCTTGGGGAAAATCAATCAACTTTAAGAATAACAGAACCCATCTCAAGGTGACTGCAGTATTGATTTTATTACATGATGTAGAAGGGAGTTAAATAAAAATAGGAATACACATGAAAATATTAAGACAGAAAGTATCTGAATAACTGAATCTGAAAAATTTTCTACTACATATGCCCACTATTTCTCATGATTCCTAAAATGGGAATCTAGTATATAATAAAGCTTTGTGTCCAGACGTGCATTTCACTTAATATTATTTCATAATGCTTTGCATGCCACCGTCATGTCACTGTATTGTATTTCTTATACTACTACTCTATTATATATTCTATGAACTCTCCAGCCAATAAAACCAATGTTCTCTTCCAAATATCACCTTTGCTAATTCATTTGCAACATTTATTTCATAATCTACAATCATCAAAATTTATTGCTCAGGACTCAGTTATGGAGGAACAAACATGTCTATTATTTCCTTAAGTGAAGGATCAGAATCAAGTTAGTGCAGTTGATCTAAATGCAGCTGATTCTAACTCTCCTCTCCTCACCCAGAATCCAGAAGAACCAACACTGATTTTCTTTGGTTATCTTGTGAACTTTTAGGAGAAATCTGGATATCTTTTACAAAACCACCAGTAAGACTTACCTTCTTAGCAGTCTCTTCAGCAGGAGGCCCAGATCTTGAGATTTGTAGCAATACAGGAAGTCGTGGTTGTTATGCTTGAAAAGGAAATCAGTTCGGTAAAAGTCTGGGAACCTGAATGGTAAGACGTTGTAATCTTCTGAAATGCTAAGAAAATAAAGTATTTCCAAAGAAAACAAAGAAAAGTGATCCTGGTCAGACTCATCCAATAATTTCAGGAGTGCTCTGTGCCTCACACTGCAGAAGCCCAGGGACAGGGTGAGGCTCCTCCCATTCTTACTCTTGACTTTCGATTTCCTCTGTTAGAGAGCTGCAGTCTTCTTCCTGTAACATTTCAGGGCTCATACCACGTTAGAACTCAGCTAGAACTGAATTTTTTTTTTTTGCATAGAATTCTCAACAAATGAAAAAAGTTTCAGTCTTAGAATTTTCACATCCAACAGTCTTACAGAAGAGTGGTCATTAGGTCATTAGGAACCTATGTGAAACTTGAGACCATTAGGTCATTAGGGCATTAGGAACCTAAATGAAATTTGAGACCCTGAAACTCAAATACTAAAGGGAGGAGGCACTTTCTAGCTATTCTCCCTTCAGTCTTGCTCACAGAGTGACAGAAGCAGGAGGTTTCTATTGCTAATGTTACTTGAATGCATTTCCTGGATAGGGGAGTGTCTGCTAGAAAGTCCCTACTAGTTAAATATTGCACAACTCATTCATCCTGTTAGTCATAGTGCACCATCACGAGGCTTGCCAGAGCACAATGTCATTATAAACGTAATTTTATCAACTATATTTAAACAATTGTGGCTGTAGCTATCCTCTTGACTATTACTAGATTAAATTATTTCAGTGAATAAGTTTATGATTACTCAGTCTCTTGTATTATTATGGAGAATCACATCTCTGCCTGATAGCCTTGCAAGATCTGGCAGAGTACTGAACTTATAGTAGGGTCATTGATCTCATGTGACTTCTGTTCTGCAGTTTTTTTCTGTGGACCGCAGATGATTTCTGGAGCATAGCATCTCTCATATGTTAGCAAATATAACAAACTAGTGAGTCGTGGGTGGAAGCCGGTCAGCTGATCTGCAAGCAGTATGATTCCATGCCTGGAAACAGGGACCCCAAGAACAGGGAGTGCAAATGACTGAGGCCATCTATCAGGCAGAAGAAAACTGAGTATCTTAATCCAAGATAGTCCTGTATAAAGGAAGGTTGAATTCTGGATTTGAAACCATTTGAACATATATCAAAGAATAAGGAAGGAGAATCTTCAGTGATATTTTCATACACCTATGGGTGTCTATGGCTTCTTTCCTTGGGGGGAGGAGGTTGTATATAGGTGGCAGTTTCTGTGTATATTTTGAGCTGGGTGTGGTGGATTGATTACTGGTGGTCAATTTATAACCCCCAGCTGAACTGAGTAAGTGTGGTGCTGGGTGTGGGAGGCCCACATAGGGACTGTTGCGAGCAGCATAAGAGACAGAGCTGGAGAAGGAGAAAGTTGGCTGTTAGGAGAGGAGAAAGGCTGTTGGAGCTGGGAGAAGCTGTAAGGAGCTTTGGTTCTTTTGGAGGAGCTCGTCATGCTGGCTTTCCTGATGAACTTGGCTGTTTTCATCCTCTGAGGAGCTAGGGACCTCGTTGGCACTGAGAATGGCCTTAGTTCACTTTGAGGAAGCTCTGGTCCTCACTTTGAGCATTGCTTCCTGGCTCTGGAGGGGAGGTTGGTACACTGCTGGTCTCCTAGAGAAGCTTGCTGCATTGGCTTCCCTGATGGGAACTTGGCCATCTTGATCATCAGAGGAGCTCAGGACCTCACTGTTGCTGAGAATGGCTGTGGTACCTTTCAGGGAGCTCTGGTTCTTCTGAGCATCACTTCCTGGCTCCAGTACAGATCCCTCAGGCTGCTAGCACAGATTCTTCATCCTGCTGGCACAGACCCTTCATCCTGCTGGCACAGACTTCCCAGATTCCACTGCTGATCTTTGGGCCTTGCAGTGCAAATCCATGAGACAGGCCTGCACGAGATGTTGTCATGGGCTCTGGGCATTAAAATACTTGGGGCTTGATAGCTTCCCAGGCAGAGCCAATCCTTTGCTTTGTTTTAATTTGTTGTGGGAATATTATTTCACACTCTGAACAATAAGAAAGGAGTTGATAAAAGAAAGAGAATTGGACTGAGAAGATTGAGTCAGTCTTTCTTATTGCCTTTTACAGGCTGTGTGGCCCTCAGTAAGTCATTCCATTTAATTTAATATGTAGTAATCAGGAGAAAAGAGTAAACTGTCACAGTTCTGTGTCAGACAAACCAGGCACTAGTCTTCCAACTTGGAGATAGGAATTATCATTCCCTTTCACTTTTGCTCTCTTTCCTGTCTTCTGAGCTCTATATGAAAGCACTTTATAAATTGTAAGATGCTCTCCAGTGATAGGTTTTCATGCATGGTAGAGTAACCTGCTTCTCAACTACTGTGTGTGCTTTTGAGGTTGTGAAGTGAACACATAGATCTGGGATATACGGTCTTTGGGTGTTCAAGACATTTTTTAGGTAAACAGACATCACAGAGTAAAAAGTAAATTTTAAATTGATGTGATAAGAATATAATTAGGTAGAAATAGCTAGGTATTCATTTTCTCATACTCTATGATAGAGATATACTTGCTATAATTTGTCTTGGAGACTTTTACACAAAGTTTATAGATTAATGTGAAAGGGATTATCTATTCATGTTATCGAGTCTTTAAACCAAACATTACCTATATTCCCATAGGCTTCCCTTTTAAAAATCTTTCATTAAAGTTTTATAATTTTCTTCATAGTGGTCTTACATATCTTTTGCTAAATATTTTAACTATATGGAGTTATAGTAGACATTGTGATTGTCTATTTATTTATTTATTTTTTTGCTGTATCAGGGATTGAACACATTGTGATTTTCCTACTGGTGTTCTTCTGAAATAAAGAAGTGCAATTTTCATATATTAACATATTTAGAAATATTGATACATTATTTATGATACTTTGTGTATGATTCTGAGCATTGTCTTTAGATTTGAATACATGCAGTGGCATAAAAATAAAAATCAGAGTACTGTTACAGAATAAAGAATCTAGAAACTAAGTCATTTTTATGAAAACAACTTTTCTTTTCAAAAAAAGTACCATAACTATGACAGAGAAAAAGAAAATCTTTTAAACATATTTGTCTGAGAAAATTTATATGCACATGAGAACTTCTATATCATATTTAGCCTCTTATAAGAGAGTAACTCAAAACAGACCATCAACCTAAAGATAAAATAACAAACATTTCTAGAAAAAAATAGGGTATAAAGCCACTTAATGTTGAAAAGAAATCTCCTAATGTTTTCTTACCTTGCATATTTTTGGAAAAACATGTTGGAAAATAACATTCTAATGTTTTACTACCTTGTATATTTGTCTAATAAGTAGTTTCTATCATATGTTGTTTAGATATAGTGCCTTATTCTTCAAGATCCAGGAAGGAAAATAATCTCTCACTTTTTTCAATCTCTTGGGAGAGAGTATTGGAAGAGATATGCATACTTTGGGCTAACAACAATAACAACAACAGGAAAACAAAATCAAAAAATGAAAGCCCTTTTTATATGAAGTATATTTTCAATGGATCTGTGTGAGCTGGTGGTGACCTGTGTATTTCCTTGATGACTCTTCCTGCAGGGTGTGGATTCCAAGGGTTTTGATACATTTGTCAATGCTTTTAGTTTAGAAATCATGTGTTTGTATAATTTTTGTGTTTTGAAATGTTGAAATTTCTGAGGCTGTTAACTGCATCCTACTTTTTTTTTGTGTGTTTTTGAGACAGAGTATTGCTATGCAGTTCAGGCTGGCCTTGAATTCACTTTGTAGCCCAGGCTGGCTTTGAACTCACAACGATCCTCCTG